ATATTAAAATACTTTTATTATTAAATTTATTTTTTTAATGTTTCTTAATTTCACATGTACTTGAAATTTATAATGTACTTAAAATATTTTTTATTATTGTATTTATTTTTTCTATATTATATTGATTTTAAATTCTATTTGCTTTGCATTCAATAATAGAATAAATAAACTTCTGGAATCTATATGAGTTCATTTTTTTTTCTATTGCTATCGATTTTGTTTTATAAGCACTAATAGAATTGCAAGCTCTCAGTAGACTATTATTTAATTCGACCTGTTAGGGATGCATTTCGAATTACGCATGAAATACATGATGTATCATTTGTTTTTATTGTTTAATTAATAAAAAAGGATAAAACAATACATCATGCGCTTTATGCATAACTCGGAACGCACTCTATGTTAAATGTATAAACAACGTAGCGTTTGCAGCTTTTATCTTAAAGAAAACTTTTTTAGGAAAATTCAATTCTGTTCATTTTAGACTTCACTGTTAAGTTTGGAGATGAGGAGATTAAAAATTTTTTTTATTTAAACTTATTAAGGATGTTTACAAGAATGTTAAACTAATTAAGGATGTTTTACATATTTTCAAAATAGTAACAAAATTATGAAAAAATTATAACAGATTATTCTAAATCACGTTTAAAAATAATACAAAAAATAGAGTTATATTGCGATGAATTAGTTGTCTAGTAAACAAACAAAATATTTATTTGTTTTTTGTAACTAATTAATGAATTACTGCAATGACACTTTGCATTTAATTATTATAAAAAATTATTTTGAAATTTAAAGTATTTATTTAACAAAATGTAAATCTTTTTATCATTTTTAAAATTTAATTTTTAACAATATAAAAATAATAGCAAATAAAATAAATAAACTACAAAAATGTGTTATTAAACGAAAATATAATCTTATTCACACAACTTTCATAGTTTTATTTGAAGTGTAAATATTAAATATACTTCCAAATTTAATTTTCTCTTCAGGAACTGTACGTCTAATATATTCTTAAAAGAGGAGGTTTGATGCTTGATTAATATCATAAATCAACATTCTTGAATCATTTAAATTTTACTCTCAATCCTATTATTCATAAAAAAAGGCATGATAATATTAAATAACTGATGATATTTACTATACTGATTTAATATTTTATTTTTATTAAATTCTAAAATCTACAAATTTTTCAATTTTATAATTAATATTTTATTAGATAATGACTATTTCTCTTTCTATCATTAAAGAAGATTATTATCAAAATTTTTTTATTGTCTTAATAATCTCAATAGTAAATTTTCAATAATCAGAGAAATCAAATTCATTTATTTTATTATAACTTACGTCGCTAAAATATGTTGCCGAAATTTTAATTATATTTTATTTTTTTAATAACATTTCTAACTTAAAATTAGTTTTTGTTGAATAATTTAAACAGATACATCAAAAAGAATACATAAAAATACTTTTTTTTACTCAAGCTTTCATCTACAAAATTAATTGTAAAAACTACATATGAAACATTATATGTTGATGAAACGCGCAGAATATTAAAAAAAAAAGAAAAGAATTAATGAACATCATATTAGAAGAAACACGATACAAACAACGGTCATTATACTGAAAAAAATACATGTAATTTTACATGAAAATTACATATTTATGACCGATTATTTAAATTATATAAATATGATTGAAATTTATTGAAAATTGTAAATTTTCAATCATATTTAGAATTTTTCGGTCATAAACATGTAATTTCCATGTAAAATTATATGCATTTTTTTTACTATAAATTTTACAAAACTTCGTCTAAACTTTTCTTATAATTTTTACTGGGATAATACGACATCTTGATAAAGAAATTTATCTTAATAAATGCTTATTATTAGAAATAATGCATATTAAAAATCAAAATTACGGTTTAAAGTTACAAAGTGATCATATACTCTATAATAAAGTCGGTAAAATCTGAAATTATAATATGGAAAACGTGATATTATGTAGGTATAATAATTCCTTTTAATATCTCCACTATTAGGTAAGTTCTAATGATTACTTAGGGCTGCCATCTGTAAAATCATTAACTTAGGACATAGAGCTCTAAATCCCCCGATTTTACAGCTAATTACCGGACTTTTTTTTATGTTAATATTAATTTTCTCATTGTAAATTTTGATTATTTAGTATAATATTTAATATTTTTATATCTAAAAGTACTTTCACAAATAAAACAAAAGTTCAACAAACAAATAATTAAAAAATATATTTGTTAACAATTTTTTATATTTATTATGCATTAAAGTTAATAAGGTATTATACAATACCAAACATGTATTAAAATTAAACTGAAATATATAATAAATCACAATGAACATATAAAAATTCAGATTATATATAATCTTTGGAAATGAAACTTTTTACTGAACGCTAAATTAACAGAAATAAATATTATCTATCTCTATAACAAAAATAAGTCATCTTAATTAAAATAAGGAAAAATCTTCAAAATTAAATTATAAGATTTAGTTGTTTCAGTCGTGTATTTTTCAACCTTTCCTCTATTGCTTTCTTGCTCTGAACAGAAATTTATAGATATAATATTTATAAATATTAATATTTATAGATATTAAATCGACACAACTCATATCTTTAAAATTATATCTTATTTTAAACAGTGAGGAGATAGTATAATATGTGATCCCAACGAATTTCTTTCTTTCGTCTATTGTTATATAATTAGTGAAAACATCCTCTCCACGTTTACATGAGCTGGTATGAAGAAAAAATACTGTACTATCTTTAATAATTCGATGTATGTATGAGCATTCGGGATTTTAAAAAATTTAAGTCAAAGTTTACGAGTACAATGAAAAACTATAAAAAATCCGGATCGTTTCGAAAAATCCGCCCGGACGCTTCCAATTGCCTCCAAAACTAGGACAAATCTGGAAAAATCCGGACGGATGGCAGCCTTGAAGTTTGTTTTGACGCAGTAAGACGAACGGACGGTGCGTGATCATGTTTTCGCAGTTTACGCGCCAGTTACTGCTAATCGCGTGGCCATTCACTTACCGGTCCGCTTGTAAACAGGTAGCCGTGCCGCTCTTCTTTACATAATTATTCTTTTTGAAATATATTTGCGACAAATACTATATCAGTTAATATGAAACGTCGTACTTTAGATTCTAAAAACTTATTTAAAATATTAAATAAGGAATAAATGTTAGAAAAAGTTTTTTTAAAATAATAAATACTAAATAATTACTTTATTATCTTTATTTATCTTTATTTATTAAAATACATATTTTAAATAAAATTGCTTTAGACCATCTGATTATCTGAGCAAGTTGAATTTTTACAATTGAAATTTTAATCACTATTAAAATGGATAATAAGTTGAAAATTGTTTAAATATTAAAAAAATTATTTAACGTTAGTTGTTAATGGAAACTTCCACAGCTTCATTTAAATGTTGAACTTCCCGTTTGAGATTCCACTGCAGTTGGGATCCTGATAGTGACTCATTTTTGACGGAAGAATCAATGCTATCGATTTAAGAGATGGATCATTACTAAGAATGACTCCAAAGAGAGTCAAAAACGTTTAATAAAGAAGATTACATATTATGTAAATCAATCTTTGGGATTTAAATTTAATCTCTGGCACCTTCATTGGCCTTGACTCTCATTAGTCTTAAATTTATTGTTTATTTTTATTTTTAAGATTGTGAGTCTGTTAATAATTTGATATTTCTTAGCAAAATTGCATTAAAATAATTAGACATAAAAATAAAAAATAAATTAAAAATATACTTACCTGCAAAAACTTACTAAATTTATTAACAGCTTGTTTTTTTACGGATGAATATAATTACAAAGAAACGAGGATCGCCAATAAAATCGGAGGGCCTTTAGCTCATTTTTGTTAAATAACGGAAGTTAAATAACGGAAAAGTTTGAAGTGTATTCAAAATCTCTATAATTTTTTAGTAATTATA